ACGGGTGAATAATTGTTGCTTAGTCATCTCGGTAAGTTTCATAAGGAACCAGAACTGTACACAGAATAGAAAATGCAGGTGTATGTATATGAACATATAGCTGCCTGCCCACAATAACGTCTCGGTGTTCATTTTTTATAGCTTTCTTTGCAGTTTGAGCATATTAACACCTTTTAGTTTTCAAATAACATTGTGCTATCCACAGTCTTTACAAAATCTTCCTCCTTCATAACTTAAGCTAATTTAGATTCTACTGTCCCAAAGATAAAGTTTAGATTATTTTCTTCCTATCATATTTGCATTTATCAGTACTGAATTTCAGCTGCCATTTTCTTGCTACCCTGTAACTAAGAACCATGACTATCATAATCCACTGCAGCTCTTTGCAGTCAGATTTACTTTTGACTATTCTGGTATCAGAAGAGGGCTTTATCATTTCACCATTCACCTTACTTTCCAACTCATTTATGAATATATTCAATAGATACACAAAGTATCAGAATGATTTGCAGTAATAGTATCATCACTGGCTTGTTTCTGCACTGCTTCAGGAACTGTCCTCAAAATGCTTGCCTAAAACAGATGGGTCCAGTCTTCATGGTTCAGTCTTAGTTTATGGAGGCTCATAACAAGTGAGAATTTACACTAGTGCAGGACATGGAGGCAGATAAAGAGAAATCATGAAGGTAACCCCTTCTGGTCACTGAACAGTTATGACATGTTATGCAGCCTTCATTTATCATAGATAGGATTTGTCCCATGTAACCTATTAAAAATAATCTTACATGGTGCTCAGAATCAGACAGTTTTGGTTCATCTCCAAAGTCTGAGATATAAAAATGAAAACTTTTCTTTTCTCTGCTATTAATTGACTTTTGATTAGTTTTTGGGAGGTGTATTTGTGTTTACGTTTCTGTCAATGGAAACAGTTTGCTGGCCTACTGTGCTGAGGCTCTGCATCTGTTACCCTGGTCCTTCCAGGACCACGTTTCAGCACATAGAATGCTCCGATATATGCACCATCACACAACCTTTAACTCCCAAAGCTGGATGTCCATTTGGTGAAGTGTAGTCCCTACAGTGATATGATTACTTGCTTGGGCCATTTTTCCTGGCAGTCTTTGAAAATGAGGTTTCAGACACTCATTAGCTGCTTTTTTTCCTCCATGAAACTGTGAAGGGAACACATTACTGAAATGATGGCTTTTGTGTGATCCCTCTTTTCTCTAAAAAAGTGAATCTGAACATATGTCTACAGAAAGATTACTAGCTTGGACCTCATATGCTCGAATCTTTAGACAGGTAAATTGTGTACAATGAAGAGAGTGACATTTGGACAGGTAATTCTAAGCCAGTAATAATGAGCAGGAGTCAAAGGCAGAGTGAAAGGGCTTATGTGACCAAGCACCAGTTATTAGTGCCCAAAACCAAACCAGATTAAATCATGTTCTTTCTAATTAGGTGACACTGCAGGAGCAATCTCTTAAAGCAGACATATACAACACAAAAGGAACAAGAAATGGATCAGAGAAGAGCAGCCACTTGAAATGCTCAGAAAGAGATGGATTTAAACTGAATTAAGGTCAGTAGAAGTGGCAAAAAAGAAAAGTTGTGCTGTAGCCTCATCCATAGAGCATTCAGATATTACGGGGATTATGATAATAATAATAATATCTCCGGAGACACTACGTGACATAAAATACCTATTAAGAAAAGTACATTCAGTGAGGTATATTGCAAATCATTATGAATATTCAATACCAATCAAACTGAAATGAAAGAGAGCACCCAGGGACTCTGGATTTGAATCTGAAAAGACAACTGAAAGGGGAAAAAAAAGGAACTACAAAGAGAGTGATAATAAATTTCATCTTATTACAAATGCAGAGAATATTAAGTAAGCTCTTCATGCTCTTCACCTATGATATGGACAAAATCAGACAACATGATTTTAAGCATCTTAGTATGCTTAAAATATGTTCCCTCAACTTCTGGTTTTTATTCTGGGAACAGAGAGCTGTCTGTTCACCTAGAACTGTTCAGGACCTTTCAGGAAAGAACTTGGTATGGTGAAACAGTAGGAAGTACAGCAGGGAAAGAGAGGGAAATGCACAGCAGCCATCTGCCTGCTTCAATCTGTGGCAGAATTTTTTCATATGGTTGCATTGAACAAATACTGAGATGAAAAATAAGGTGTACCAGGAGCTTAGGAAAGAGGCAAGCCTGTTCACATCAATGGGGACCAGACAGATGAATCTCATAACAGTGCTATTGGGGGATATTAGTATTAAGTGAAAAAAAAACATTCATTTTCAAATCCATTAGTACGTTTTTAAATGTGTCCACTAGAATTATTAAAAGTGTGGATATTTTCCTTATTGCTCCATTGCATTTATTAAACTAGTTTTGCAGAACTGTAACCCATTTTCCTGTACACTGGAGATCTGACATACATGTTCTACTCAGTAAGAGGTAGCTATATGATTTTACTTTCATTAGCTGCCTGATAAGTTTGATGAAAAATTTGTGAAACATCTAACTGAGGAGTAGGTATTTCCTGTGTTTTCTCCTGTTCTTTGTTTGCTCATCTCTTTAATCTTAAAGACATCTTCCAGGGAGAAGAGGCAGATCAGGAACCATAAAGGGTAAGAAATATGATTCCACTACTAGCAAATATTAAATCTATTTCTTCATTTTTGGCTATTTCAGGTTTTGGCCATTTATAAAGAGATGTAGATGCACATGAAGATTTGTTTAGTGATAATGCCACAAAAATAGCAAAATAATCTGTGCTCAGCTTTTTAATAAAGCTACAAAGTGTAGCTTTATCTGTGCAATAATTCCTTCACACACCACCCTCCCTAAAAAAACCCACACATTGAAAATATAGCCTTCAACTGCTAAATGAGATCAGGTTCTTGAAAAATTGCTGTCAAGTCTGTGGGAATACACATTCAGATACTATAGAATTGGTGCTGCATTTCTAGGTATAATAAAGCATCTGTCCATAGAACTAGATTTAAAACCAGAAAATATAATTTGTCAGCAAAATCCATGTAAGCACAGCCTCAGCCTGTACATACAGCCCTGAGGGCATAGAAAGGTGTAAAGAAAGCCACGATGAATTACTCTGGCATATACTGCATAGCCTTTTCTTTCTGAGTCTTTTCTGAGTCTCTCATTGCTCTTATTTTATTCCCATTAACTGGAATTTACTTTGCACTTCAAAAATTTGACCTCTGCTTCCCCCCTTATTAGCATTTTTATCTTTGAAATGTATTACAGAAGTCTCTTCCTGTCCTTCTTCAGCTCTAATACAATTTAAACACGAAATGATTGTGATCAGTCTTTACACAATGCGGGATCAGTTGTAGGTCTATACTAAATATTTTCCTTTACCTTGTCAAAGCAAATCAAGCAATGACCAAAACACATGCTGTTCTGAATGAAGTGCATGTGTTTTATCTTTTGCTTCCATTTCACTTGTACTCCATTTAAATTTCTCCTTGATCTCTCATCAGCCTCCCAGAGTCCTCTATAGATTGTGTTGTTACTGCAGTCGTGCAATATGAAACAAATGAAAAAAATCTTTCTTTTCACTCCTAAAAGAAGTTTAAGAATAACAAACCAAAACCATGTCAATAGAAATTGTTTAATGCCATTGAGCACACGCAAAGGGATTTTGAAAGTGTTTTACAAAATCTGTTATTTTATTCTATCTTTCAAAAATTGCTGTATATGGGGTTTCCTCAATGTATGACTGAGTCATACATACATATGGCAGAGTCATATCTGGAAATGAACTAGCTGTATGAACAACTTATCAGAAACACATTAAATGCATCTATCAATGTAATTTTTCTTGATCTAGTTATTACAATCTTAATCATTTTGGGGTTTGTGGGCTAACAAAAATCCTACAAAGTTGAGGAATTCCCTTGTTCACTGACACCAGAACTGATTCAGAAAAGTCAGCCAAGACCTTTCTGAAAACCTCTTATGAGCTGACTTGGTCTGACTTTTCTTGTTTATGGCTCTTACATAAACATATGGCTCTCTTGTGCTAAAGTTCATGCCAAATAACATGAAGAATCTGTTTTTCTTTGCAAGTCCTTGCTGCAGTTTCTGTGAGCCATCAGTATTGGGCATAGACATGTCCCAGACTGTAACAGGAAAAATGGGGTTGTGCATAGCATAATTTCCTTCACGACATCATGTCAACTGTGCAAAGTTGACAATCTCTTTCCCAGTTTTATTTACAGAAGACAGTAACTACCTGCATTGTAAGCAATAAGTAAGATAGCACTTTTTAATTAATTTCTTACATTTCACAACTTCATTAGAAAGGCTACCAGATACAATTAGGTCAAATAAAACCACTTGAATATGCTTAGGTGAAATGCAAAAATTTGATCAAAGACACAAACAACTCCCCTGTTGTGAGCTATCTTTTAGTACAAGTGAGTCCATAGTGGCACCAGCTCACACACAGTGAACTATATGAAATGCAGTGTATTAACTGGACTAGGAAGACTATTGACACCCTTGGGATTCAGACTTGCGCCTGTTGAAATAACTAGAGTTGAAATGAACTTTTTTTTATAGTGGTGAAGTATAAATAGCGTTTCCAAATCAGAACACTGCTGTTCATACTATTAAAATTTCACAAGTTATTACTTCTCTTAGTTTTGTTCAAGTTGTTAAAAATCCCCTTTTATTATATTCCTTTTGCTTAATTGCTAACAGTTTCTCTGGAGAGTGACAGTGACATCTACCTTATCTCTCTAACATAGTTTGATCACAAGCACTTCTGCTTGCTTTCGGAGGTGGAAAAACTATCAAACCATCACACACTGTGAGAAGAAGAAATCAATGGAAATCCAGCCTTTGAGACCGTGCTGCTCTGATCATTAATCACTTTTCCTTACACTGGAAGAAAAAGTAAATCTCAAATTCATTTCAGTAGTGAATGCTAACCAGGCATTAAGAAATGCACTTACTTCTCTCTGTTGAATATGATGAATTCTTTCCTAACAGTTTCCAAGCACTGCTGCAGGTGCATGTTCTTTAAAAAACAACATGAATAAGTTGATTAAAAAGATGGAAAATCATAGGCAAAATCACAAAAACTGAAACAATACTGAACAAAGAGGCTTATGAATGGATACTATCAAAAGGCATTTTGAAGGGTCTTCAAAAGTGGGCTCTGACAACACAATCAATCTTTCTTTTGGAAGAAATTCCCTACGAAGAATTCTAAGTCTGATAGCTTTAAGACAAACAGCTTGCATGAGCATTCAAAATCATTAAGAGCAGCAACAGGATTTCTAAAACTTCACTGAAATGAAAATTCAAGTCTGGAAAATTATTATTTCTTAATTTTCTCCAAAGTGTATATACAAGAAGACATTCTACATGGGACATATTAATCAAGACTGCAAGAAACAGCTTTAAAACATTTATAATTAATGAGCTTTTCATGCTGCATAATTTTCATTTTTCATATTATCAGTGGATAAATACTCTTTGCAACTATCTGTCCATGTGTGGGAAGCATATTTGCCAACTAGCAACACTTCTTCATACTTTAAATGAGCATCCGAATCTTAAAAATAATTACAACTTAAAATTAATTACAACAAAATAATTACAATGTTACTATTTGAAATAAATGGTTGCTTTTCATCTTGCTTTGGAGATCATTTATGCTGTATGTAAAACGACAGACATAGAGACTGAGTTTATTTTCAGAGATGATAAAACCGAACCTTGATAAAACTGAGTTTGTCTACTAAAGAGTTTAACTGAAATGCCACTGACTGCAGCCACAGTCCCCAGCTTACCAGTGGGCAGGTTTCCTTAGCTCCATCTTTGGCTTTGTTTTTGGCAAGTCGCTTTTTCTTTTTATGGAGAGGCTTGGACTCTAAAATCATTTCTTCAAGTTCAAATGTAGGATCGCAATTCAATCTTCCTTTCTGGAACAAAAGGATTCAAAGTTACTCTTTGAAGCATCATTGTGGTTTTTCAGTTTGCCCGTCAAATGTTAACACCATTAATAATGATCCAGCTTCACAACCACAGTAAAATGAAAACTATTATTTTTAGGCCTGGACTGATACTTGAAGTTTAAATAAGGGAGATAAGATAAAAATCGTATTATAAAGCAATTATAAAGAGTTAGATCTTCTTCCTAGTTATACAAAGATGTACTCCTACAGTGACTCCAATTATGTCACTCCAATGAGAGAGATTAATCTGTCCCAGGGCATTCATCAGAATATCATTTAGTGCTGAACACAAATGGCAGCTGTAATAATGCAGGAGGGATGGAGACTACTTCTAAGACCTTACTTGTTAAAATCTGCTTTTCTGAAGAGTTGAAGGTGGATTCAATTACCTAGCTCCTGTCCATGGTAACAAAGGAAAGAGTGGGCCTTTTTTGGTTAGCAGCATTTATATAGAAAACCAGTTCATAGAATCATGGATTACCAGGTTGTAAAGGACCTCAAGGATCATCTGGTCCAACCTTCCTAGGCGAAGCATGACCTAGTCTAGATGTCCCAACAACACTGTCCAGCTGAATCTTAAGTGTCCAACGTTGGAGAATCCACCACTTCCCTGGGGAGATTGTTCCAATGGCTGGCTGTTCTCACTGTGAATAATTTTCCCTTTGTGTGAACTAGAATCTCACCAGGAGTAACTTGTGCCCATTACCCACTGTTTTTTCCACGTGACTCTTTTTAAACTGAGTCTCCATCTTCTGTGCATCCACCGTTTAAATACTGGAACATTTGTGATAAGGTTTCCCCTGAGCCTTCTCTTCTCTAGGCTGAAAATGCCCAGCTCTCTCAGCCTTTCCTCACACAGCTCCCCAGTCCTTTGACCATCTTTGTGGCCCTTCCCTAGACCATCTCCAGCCCATTCACATCTTTTTCCATAGTGGGAACCAAACTGAACACAGTATTCTAGCACTGAGTAAAGTAGGACAATGCCACCTTTATTTCTCCTGGTGATACCGCTGTTGATGCAACCAACATCCTGTTGGCTTTCTTTGCCACAGCAGCACACTATTCACCTATTTTGAGCTTGTTGTTCAACAGGACCTCCACGCTCCTTTCCACAGGCAGATCTCAGCCTGTGCTGCACTCCTGGATTATGTTTTCCCACACTTGTCTTTGTTGATTTCCATAAGGTTCTTGTTAGACCACTGTTCCATCCTTTTCAGGTCATCCAGCAGGGTGGCCCTCCCTTCTAACACTTCCACTTCCCCACTCAGTTTGGTATCTTCAGCAAATTTGGTCAGGGTACATTTGACCCCATCTTCCAGATCACTTAGGAAGATATTAAACAGCATTGGGCCCAATATCGATCCCTTGGGGATTCCACTGGTGACAGGTCACCTGTTTGAAAAGGAGGTACTTACCTCCATGTCGTGGTTTAAGCCCAGCCGGCAACTTGGAACCACGCAGCCGCTCGCTCACTCCCCCCCTTTTCCTTCCTCCCCCCACTCCCGGAGGGATGGGGAGGAGAATCGAAGGAATGTAACTCCCACGGGTTGAGATAACAGCACTCCAGTAACTAAGGTATAATACAAACCACTACTGCTACCAATAATAGTGATAAGAGGAATAACAAGGGAAAAGGACACAACCGCTCACCACCCGCCGACCGATACCCAGCCCGACCCGAGCAGTGATCTGGGCCTTCCGGGTAACTCCCCCCAGTTTCTATACTGGGCATGACGTGCTGTGGTATGGAATACCCCTTTGGCCAGTTTGGGTCAGGTGTCCTGTCTCTGCTGCCTCCTGGCTTCCCCTCCTCCCTGGCAGAGCATGAGACTGAGAAAGTCCTTGGTCAGAGTAAACATTACTGAGCAACAACTAAAACCATCGGTGTTATCAGCATTGTTCCCAGGCTGAAAGTCAAAACCACAGCACTGCACCAGCTACTAAGAAGGAGAAAAAAATGACTGCTGTAGCTGAACCCAGGACACTCCACCTTCTGGCTGTAGCTGGTCAGACAGTTCCCCACCACAACACAGACCACTTGTCTAGGCCATTACATACCAGTTTCTCTAGGAGAAGACTGTGGGAGACTGTATTGAAAGCCTTGGAGAAATACAGGTAGACAATGTCCACTGCTCACCCCACAGCAACTGAGCAGGTTACTTTGTCAGAGTTTTGTCAAGCGCAATTTGCCCTTGGTGAATCTGTGCTGGCTTTTCCCAATGGTGTTTTCATGATTTACTATGCTTTTTCTTACCTATTACTTGTATTACTTAAATACTCTAGATTCTCCATTTTTATGTTAATTTATGATGCTTGGAACAAATCTTTGTTGTATCAGGAAGTTCTTTTTAAGCAGGTTGATTGGAAACTTCATTTCTATATGGTCTTTTCCTTCCTTGATTCTTTTCAGATTCTTCTTTAATTCTTTTCAGGTTCTTGATTCTTTCAGACCTTTTCAGCATGAAAGTTTACAGGAGCATAGTTCATGCCTTGAGGGGTTGTTTTATTAATTCTATTCATTAGTGCAATAAAGCCATCTCATGACAACATTTGGGATTGAATTCTTCCTCTCTGATTTAGGGGTAAGAGCTAGGGTATGGCCAGAAAAACTATGGTTCAGCTGAATCCAATACATTTTAAAAAGCTCACAACTTGGCATCATAATTACTGGGACAGTGTTTTTCTGCTCCTGTGAGCTCAGAGTAACATGAGCTCCTTTCTTCTCCTCACTCTCTCAAAACATAAAGAATGCAAGCCATTTGAATTTTGTGATGGAAGATCTTAAAAGCAGCCTGTTTTCTTCCTGGTCTTCTGAGAGTTCAATCACACAATTGTCACTGTCAAGGTGGAAGTACTAAGATAAGTGATATATAAATGGCAGATATTATTTAGTAACCAAAGACACTAAGCAGTAAAACCACATCAGGAATCACTTCTATAACTTGTGGTGTCCTACAATGAAACATTTGATTTAGAGATCACTCCATCATTTTTATTCTTAGCAAAGTCTGTATACTCAAAGTGTAATATTAAGCTCTCTGATGCCTTTTCCTGCATACTATTCAGTCAGGTTTAGAAACTTTTTTTTTATTAATGGAAGTTTATGGCTTATTTATATTTATTTATAAATAATTCTTTGCATTTAATCAATATCAGTTCCTTTTTTTTGAGCATGTACAGTTTTAAGATTTGTTCAAGCACTTAAAAAATACATCGCTTTAATTCTGAAGCCTTAAAAATAAAAACAAATTACATTTAAGTAATTTTTTGCTTCCTTCATTAAATATCTAACTTATAAAAAACCTACTGACAATTTGTGATTCCAAGATGAATAGAAAGAAATTAGGTAAACCAGAAAGAATCACATGTACTAGTTATGCAAAAACAATGTTTATGGACTCAAACTATACAGGGAGAAATTAACCAATGGGACCTGCCTACCACAAGCCTCCCATGTGTCCTCCAGCCCACAGAAGGCAGGCAATCTCCTGACAACAGTGACAAGCTGTCACAATTTAGAAAACTCTCTAGTCATACAACTATCCCCAAATCACAGCATATGTTGGCCCCAATTCACCCTCTCACCAAGGCCTGAAAAATCAAGAAAGATTTTGTTGTGTGTTCCCAGTTAATCAGTGAAGGTTTTGCTGGTGTAATAGAGAAAAAAGTTCCTGGAAAAGGCCTGGCCAAAACAGGTATTTATGCTTATGAAACAGTGAAGTTTATTATAATAGAGAAATGTGCTTGAACAAGACCTTGACTCTTGCCTTCTCACTGTTTTTCCTAGCAGACCTGATCAACCAGGTGGAATAAGCCCTGTAGTATCAGTCCCTGTCCTGAAGTGTCTGGTAGGGCTTGTAATGGGACTTTTGGATTAATCTGGGTAAATAAAAGTAACTTTTTATTCTTATTTCCTTTTAAATGTGGAATATTATATTGTCCTCAGTATTATAAGTTCCTGCCAAAACACAAATCAGGTGAATCCAAATGAAAATAATACCTGTCTGACAGATGTTTAATGGCAGACAGTTCCAAGTATTTCAAGAGAACTTTTCTCGGTCTCCACCACATTCACCACCATCAGACACAGAGACAGGCTACTTGGCTAATAGAGGAGTCCCAGACACACTGGTTGCACAATTGCCTCTGAAATGACATTTAAGATTTCTTTTTTTTGCCATTCTTAAGAAATCAGGAAACTTTGCTGGACTCTCTCAGTAGTGAGGTACCCTCAGAACAATCTAAATCCAGATGGAAAGAAGCAGACAGCTACATGAAAACCGTGAATTAAGGAGTTAGGGTTACTCATTTGTGGCCAGATGCAGACCACCACACACTTCTTGTGCTCCAGCTCTGGGTGTAAGCCAGCTGGATGTGGAAAACTTGCAGTCCCTTTATTAGGTCCTGTTATTACAGCTGAACTGCCATACGTCACTGCTTGGGAGGCAGGCTTACCAGGGTGGAACACATCCCATTACCTGGACTCACTCCTAGACTGAAGCTGGCTTGAATCCAGTTCTCAGGAGCAGAGTTAAGATGGAAAATATAGCTCTATGAATTCAAGCATGAGTGGGAGCAAGGAGGAGACCAAGGAGATGTCTGGGGAAATGAAATCAGCAACAGGAGCAACAAGAGGAGCAGAGGACAGATTTGCTATAGGCAGATTTCAGTAGCTGGTTTCTCTGAAGCAGGTTGAAGTCCTCTTTCTTGGCTTTACGTCCTAAGATATGTACCTGTGCACAGGTTGGCTTTGCAGAGACTGGTACTCCTCTGGATCCTCAGGTATGTTATACCTTTGGGTATGGGATCCCTCTTTCAAAATACAAAGCAGGATTATGAAGTTTCCCACATGCTGACAGCTGGATGAAACTTTCAGCTAAGAGTAGAAGGTCTAAATGATCTGTTGAGTTTTGCCTGAGGAGGCAGCCCACACCTCCAATATCTCAGAAAGCAGCTCTAACTTGAAAAAAAACCAGAAAATCAGGAAAAGAAGTCTCCATTTGTCTTGTAGATCCACACCACCAGGAGAACAGAGTTCATCATCCACCAGGCCAGGGAGGAACTTTGTTCTGCAGTACTTTGCTTAGGGTAGCAACCTGGGAGAGCATAATGGACAGGCCCAGCATGGCATAGCAGTTACTCAAGGAGCAGAGATGTTGAGTAAAAGGGAAGGAGTCCTGGCCTTGGAGTTTTGCCCCAGTGAACATTGTTTTAAAGTGCCTAAGAGGGGCCAACTTTCTCTTCACCTGTTGTGCTGGTTACCTGCTATATGCCTGGTCTTTCCCCAAGCTCACAGAGGGAGGCCCTGCTTGTTCACCCTTAGCTTTCTTCTCCTGCAGGTTGCTGCTTCCAGGAAAGGCTCTGATCAGGTGCCAAGAAGCACAACAAACACTGTCAGCACTGTCTTGGCAACCTGCCTGGCTGCCTTTGCTCCATTAAGCAATGCATTCTCACCCTCAGCTTCTGCAAGGCTGAATCTTGTCCCCATCAGATTTAGCAAGAACTCTAATGTGCACCTGGAAGAGGATAGGGTTTAGCTATTCAGTCTTCCTCTTCTTTATGTACGGTTGCATAAAAAAAAAACAATTAACAAAACTTTTTATGCTGTAAATATGCTGCTATGAAAATTATGGTACAATATGACTGAACAAAGTAGAGAAGCATGTTAGCACCAGACATTGCTTTTTGATTGTATTTATTTATATATGATCAAAATGGAAATATCCAGAAAATACCAACAAAATAGACTGATGGCAAATAAAGAAACCACCAGATTCCCTCACAGAATCTTAATGTTTTAGTGTAGGAAATGCCATAAAGGAAATAGGTCAGTCTTATGGAACAGCAGAAAAGTGAAAAAAAAAATCACACTAGGATGTTAAAAAGTTTTGCAATTGTGACTCAGATGCCTAACTTTCACAGCAGCAACTGTATTGTTTGGCTCAACAACCATTTGCTCTAACAGTTCAAATGAGAAGTCTGGAAGATGTTTTTTTTATTTGAAAGAGAACAAAACGTGAACCAAGGTTAATTAGTTTTTGTTGTGATTTAATAAAATGGGCCATATTTTTGCTTAGCTGTGGCTGAGTAAATGAAAGTAGAATCCAAAGTAAAGCTTCTTTGAGAAGTAAATCACTGAAGAGCAATAAATGCAAGCATAAACAAGTAAACAAGTAGTGATAATTAAAGTCAGAATTTGCAAACACAATTCACCTGGAATATTGACTTACATTAGGAACAAAGCCTGGGGTCACAGCTTTCTCTAGAACAGCATCCCAGTTTACATCAGCTAGGTATGGAGAGCTTTGGATGTCTGCAAGGCTTGAAAGACGGCACTCCGGGTCCTTAGTGAGGAGCTGTGATCAAGCACAAGGCATTTTCTAAGAGACTGGATGCTATATAAAAGAATAGATGCATCACATGCATAAATTGTATCATACACATTCTGAGTAAGGAAATGGCTAGGGGATCTTTAACAGCTCCTAGAAGTCCTAGTCTAAAACATAAACGTGATAACTCATAGGATATGAATATGATTTAATTGCCACCAGATGGCTGTTGCAGGCATGTAGCATATATTAGTAACGAAAGTCTGTTTACAAATACACAAGGGTCCAAGCAACATGAAATATCACAGTACAATGCCACCCAACAATTTGTATTTCATCTTAAACTTATTGGTATATATAGTTACACTTGGCATCCTGGCAGCAGTTAAGATTAGCCACCTCATTGCTCCATCTATCAAAAATACATTGGTCATTGCTGCAAAAGAAATTGATCTTCTATTGCTCTATTAATCAGTTCACAAATATTTCCTGCTCAGATATCAGTATTGATGACCTGAAATACCTAAGAGAGACATATGATCATTGCAGTATGGCCAGAAAATTAAACCAAACAAAAAACCTGGGATTTCAGGGAGAAAATGATTTCCAGGGTCATGATACTTTCAGAAAGAACCCCATCTTGTAGTGTAACATTTACAGCAAGGTGGCTTGACTTTAGTTGTTGCAGCTATAGCAACATGGGGCAGAGAGAGATAAAGCTCTTTTCATGTCTAAGTTCCCTGGCTGGAAAACGGAGCAGATATTCAGAGTGCAGGGTGGTCCTTCCTTCCCTCTCTCACATACACAACCAGGGCTGTAGAGATTGGAGCCAGGGTACAGAGTAGGAATTACTGATCCCCAAGGTAAATACTGCACCATGCACAATCAGAAAATTCTAGGAATAAGCACTACCCTCTTATCCTCAAAATTTTGACTACTTAATGTGTGTGCTTGCCTGATGGCTCTGCATTGTTGGAAGGGTTTCTGGAAGAGAAGAGAGGACACAAGGTGTTTGTAGCTTTCTTACCTTTTTCAGTAGTGCTATCATGCCCTTGCACCATGCAGATGAGTAGTGAACTCTTTCTATCTTGAACATGTTCAGTATCTCATCAATAGGGGTGGATGAATGAATTTCATAGGGTCTCTGGGATAAAGTTAAACCAATATCAAGTCAGCATGAACAGATAAAAGAGTGTAGACAGTCACATTTTCTTGAGCTCAATGTTGTTTATGTGGGAAATATCAAAAACATCAAAACATCTTATAACAATTTTGAGGCTAATCCTTCCTTGCATGTGTGCTTTTCCTTGGTTGTAATGAATGTAGTTACTCATAGATGCATTTTCTCTGCAATTTTTTCTCTATGAAAAGAAGTATAAGTTCAGATGAGATGACTGAAGAATTTTGTTCCTCGGGCATTCTATGTGAAATGTGGATTATGTTCATTTATGTTCTAGATGGACAAAGTAGTGAAGTGGTGGCTGAAGCGAGATTTGTCATCCTCATTTTACTTAGTAGATACAGAAATTCAAAAATGCTTACAAAAATCTGTGTAAGTGCCACAGTAAAAAAGTAGACTCTAAATCCCAATGCTTCTCCTTTGCTCTTTTTGAAATCTAAAATTAACTTTAAAATTAAATCTAAAATTAGCACAGGACCTGCTGTCCTGTGTTTGCAGTTCCTAAATTCTTCTATAGCTGAAGAGAAGGTCCAGGCTTCACAGTGCTTCGTTCATGAAGATCACTGTGATTTATCTTTTATGTAGCATTTGGAAATAAGAGTACTACATATAAATTTATATTCTTATCAGTTACTGTGCACATACTTTTTAAAGACTTGTATTTGTGAATTAAGTTGTTAGAAGGATACCTGATGTATTTTTTTAAACAAGGATAGAATTGTTTGTGAATTAAGTTGCACCCAGCTGGTGGCAAATACGTGATATGAGATCTGCAGCCAAATGCCGTCATAGCAGCAATGTGAAAATTGATGCATCATAATTCATACAGGACACAGAGTCACCTTCTAATCTAATATCCTCAACAGCAAAGAGCAGACACTCATTATCTTCACTAAGAACTGAATCATCCCTTGACTTTTGCTAGCATGTACTGCTACAAGATTATAATTTAAGACTATTTATAGATGTCAGCTATCTAATCTGATAGTGAATTGGAGGCCTAGAAAATGTTCTCATAAAGGCCTAGAAAATATTCTCATTTTGAGAAGATTCATGTACATGTTTGAACATATGTAGGAAACAGTTCATTCTAAAGCACTGAGATGTTCTAAAAATAAATTGAAGGATTGCTTAAGTCTCTTTGCTCTGATTCACATTCAGTTAGTCTGTTGTCATTTAACTCTATCATGTCCATACAAATTCAACAGGACCTAATTGTCCGCTCTAAATAATTTTCTTGAATGAGGTACAAAACTGTCATTTGAAATGGTCTGTCATATGTTTTTCCCTACCTATGGTGATGCTGCCCTAAAACAGCTACTAAAAATGGAAAGTTAACATTCTGTTTATTGTCTGGAAGTAACCTACTGCTGATTTAGACTTCATGTAACAATGTGACCAATATGATTATTGAGCCAGAATTCACACCGATCATTATAAATGGTGATTTAGCTCTAAAAATAACACTTTAAGGAATAATGAATCATTGAAAGTTTTTCTGTTAAGAATGTTTCTGCCCATGCCTGTTCCCTGGGTGGGAAATCCTTAAAAATTTATTTTAAAGATTATTAGCATTCTGCAGTCTTGATTTTTTGAGATTTGCAGAGATTTTTGGTATTGTTATTAGTTATTTTGAACTATAAACAGCCATTGTAAGCCTGGTCTTTTGAGGTCCTTCACACCTACGTCTCCCATATTTTTCAGCTACTCAATCCACTTGAAGGTCAGAACCCTTCTGTTTTATTTTGTGAAAAAGGAAAAAAAATCTAGTTTGCTTTTGTTCATGAAATTTCCTACAAATTGTTGACATTGCAGTGAAAGTCAATGTCCAAGAATTCCACCTATGACCTTTTTCCTTCACCTTGCCTATACTGAGGGCATAGTATGTAAAGTTACTATATTTTAGCAGTGGTCTGTACTTTAGGAACAGACTGGTATGTGTCATGGTTTCCATCATGCAGTATCATGGACTTGATGCAAAGCTTTATGATTTACTTCTTTCTCATTAAGTCTCTTATTAGAAACTGGTTAAGGAGAGAAACGTGCCTGCAACATATTGAGGAATACTAGCACTACTGTCAATAACAAAAAAATGGTCCTGACAGCTCTGTACCAGACACAATTTACTCCTATAGCTACAGCCCTGTTTTCAGCAATGTGCTGTCTTGACTGCCTGGTAGTAGAGAGCAAGGCATGAGAATGGCTGTAACGCCTTGAGCACCCTGAGCCTCCTCTGAGGAATTTTCCATCCCACAACAGTAGAGGCAAACACAAACAAAAATGCAGCTTGGTATAAAGCAGCTCATTCTTACTTAGCTCCTTTTGAATTCAGGCAGGCAGTGTCACACACATGCGCAGCTCAGAGCTCGAAAACAGTTGACATTTCTGATGCTTCTCATTTCTGATGCTCCCTCCTTCCTTCCTGCCTGCCTTCCCCATGCACCATGCAGAAAAGTCATATATATGGGTGGCTCTGCAGCGGGTGGGCTGCACCGAGCACCCACCCGTCTGCTCTGTGGCAATGGGGCATCCTTCTTGCTGCTGAACAAAGTGTGGAGGAGGAGGGAGCTGCCTGCCTGTAGGTTTAGCCTGAAACCTTGTACACACAAGCTGCTTCTCTGCAGCCATCTGCGCGGGGCTGCTGCAGCAGATGGAGCTTCGGAACTCGCAGTTGTTGCAGACAGCAACATGCCTCAGGTTAAGCACATTTCCTCAACTCACAACTACTTCTCTTGTCATCACTGTTGCTAGTTTAGGCCTTGTCTGGACTAGAAAAGTTTAGAAATAGAATTCAGGAAAAAATACACCTTTTCCTAGCCCACACAAAGGCATAGCCTGCCAAACCACCCTCCGGCTTGCTCAGTGAGCAAGAGCCATTCTTCAGGAGAAAACAAGCAGCTGGCTTGATTGACTGGAGCATGGACAGATTCAATCTCAACTTTGCTTTGTCTGTAGCCAGATAGACTTATTCAGAAAAGATTGCATGGATCTTGGCAAATGGACACCATTCTGTATAATTTTTCATTTAGTAAAGTGACTTTGTCACACTATAGTGATCTTTGATGATTAGCCTTGGGAGTTCAGCTTTCATTACACATTCATTGTGCAGCTTTCTTGGAGACACCCATTGGTGAAAGGGTTGGTAGAAAACCAGCAGGATCTTCTTTCAATTTCTTATATGTGAAGCTAGTACTACTGTCTATGACTAGGGCTGAGAATGTATTATGCTTATCACTGCGAGACCTTAACTGTTCAGGTTAAAATCTTCCATACTGTGAAGAATGTCAGCTGTCAGCTTAAAAAGTTAGGTAGATTATCAGAATGATGGTGGAGAAATCCTTTTTTTAAGGGTATTAATATTCCTGTGCTTCGAGAACAGGCACCGAGATTTGGCATGGGAAAGTTCTTTGTATCAGAAGCATGACTTTTGCCATTTCTATGGAAATACAAAATAGATTGACCAAGTTTGCCTCTGAAAAATATAGCTTCTGGATTGAAGTAACAATGTGCAGACACTCTGAAATGAAGTTTCTGTCTAAAAATAGGAATAATAATTGTTCTTTATTTGTAATTTCCTTTGCCTGTCATCCTAAATGAAACTGAGATCTTCGTGGGATGGATTACAAAGTGCTTAACAGGAGAGTGTAGTGGTACTTAGTGTCATATGATAACAAACACTCCTTTCTTTAAAAACAGCATACTGCAATGCAATAAAATACTCTTTCCAAGATAGGAATTAAAATAATAATTAAAAAACCCAAACAGCTACTTTAGCTATGTCATTATCCTTAAACAGTATCTAAATTACTGTTTTCCATTGGGATTGTAAATATTTAAGCAACCAACTTCAATCCTTTGAACCAAAATGGAAGAGAATTTTCCATTATCTTCTGTGATGTTTGACCATGCTGAGGAAGATTTTTTCATTAAGCTTATTCACGTAATTGATTAGATAAGTAACAAGTGCACTGGCAGATAAGCATTTTCTGTAGTTGGACCAAACATCTTAGGATAATGCATTAGCTCTTTTAAGGTATTAGCCAAGAGAAACAAAGACATAATAAAGCTTAAAGTATCTCAACTTCTATTTGGAAAAAAGTACCATTGTAAAGTACCAATTCAGCATTGTGGAGAAGCCATTAAAACATTAGGCCTTTCTTTAGCCAAACATAGGCAAACGTAATTGAAAATGGGGTGAAACTTTCCCAAGAATGTTTCCATCTGGGAAAGACCCAGGACAGTGTTCCTGACCTGAGACCCATCCACCCAGATTTTATCCTGAAGGGTGCACTCAGGGGCACTGCAAACTTTGGGACTTCTGTTCGTCAATGTGTTAAGTAGCAACAACAAAACCCATCTTTCTTACCCAACCCCTCAGTAATTCATATGCTGTAATTCCTAGCGACCACCAGTCCACTGGGTATGAGTATCCTGGACCTCCATCCATAAAGGCCTGGAACACTTCTGGAGCTAAACCAGTAATCAAATCAAACAAAAAAATGTTATATTAAGGTTAGACTATGGATCATTAATGTTGACAGCTGAAAAATGGGTAAGGATGTGATTAACTGGAATTAAATACATTTGTAAGCACAGCATTTTCAGGATGCAGCTTCAGTGCCTTAGTTTGCTGGTAACAAAAGATCTTCACTGGTCAGGGTTTTTCAAAATTCAATAATTTTTATGTTAATTCATATCTGGTTCATTTAAGTTTTGTTATGTGAATGGAAATAAGGAATAGGAGGGGAATTACTGAACTACAACATTTAGGGTAATGCAAATATTTTATGGGACAAATATATGCAAACAAGGTGATTCTCTGTGATTAATCTCAAAGGTATTGAACATGGTAAATTTCATCCTTATTCTACATTTGGATAGAATTAATCAGATGGATAATAAAAGGTATTTGACATAAGAAAAGAGTAATTAAATACAAATACTGACATCCTATGCTGTAAGGAACACTGTTATGACTAGAAATACACACACTGTCAATAAAGTGATAAATTACACAAAAATAACTTTCCAGGAAGAGGGTGGGGAGATCTTTTCAGAACAAGAATCCAGTTGGTTAATTTCAGCAAAAAAACATACTAAATAATGCCACTGTAGCTTCTTCAGAATAACATCAATAAATAAGAGTATATGAAATGAAAAGTCAGTCATGCTTTTCTAATTATTTCACTGCAGAATCTCAGTACACTTTGTGAAAACAACGCTTTCCCTGGGGTTTTTCTAAACAGTATCACCAACCACAACATCATGCTTGATTGCAATTACCATGTGAGCCTCTTCTGGCCAAGATACCAAGTCTAATATACCACATTACCACCTGATTACCATCGTATCACTTTCTAATGGGCATACTGCAGTGAATAATGTAATCTGGTCATGCTTACTTCCAACCGGCAGTGGGATTTTCTATGGTATTTAGAGAAACACCTTTAATTAAAGGAAAAACATTCCTTTCAGAGATTTTGCAGTCCTTGCATTATGGATGGCAACCTAACAATTTACAACTCTAGACCTGACTTCAGAAAGTCTTGAAGAGCCAAAACCAATAGAGGATTTTGGCATACATGAATTAGATAGATCAGGAAGGAAGACTAGGCAAAATAGGTATAGGTAAGCTTATGCTGTGATCCAGTATAGCATGAATCAACAATGCCATAAAAATCATCACACTGCATTAGCTATGCCTCACCTCCAGATAACACAGCTTCACTTGGCATGCTCTATCTTCAGATGTACTTCAGATCTTGCTTGCATGCTGCTGTGGATCTTTGGAGACACAATTTACACGCGGGCAGCCTGTCACATAGATAGATGCTAAGACGGTAGGCAGGATTTTTTGTGTTACTTTAGTGGGTCAGTGCACCTAAATTGTACATCAAACACCAAAGTAATATTCTGAATATCACCATAGTGAAGGTTTGCTTTATTAAGCCACATTCATTATGGTTTTTGCCCACTGTGTCTAGACGATGTATAATATCTCATTACATAAATACCCTTTGTGGCCTTTTTACCGAGCTATAATATTGGTTTCACGCTTTCTTTTATAGCTTTAGCATTGTAATAATGTGACAGATCACTATCTGATTTCTGTGAGGTAAAGTTTGAAAGTATAAATGTAACCTATAACATTGCCAGAATGGTGCAGGTGTTTTGTTAGTTAGTGACTGAGTTATCCACTTTTATTTCATTTGCTTTTTCTAAAAGCTTCAAGGTCAACTCATCCCATACTAAGCAGACCAGCAGAAAATGATTTCTTTTGTCCACTGGTGCCGGTGTTCTGAAGCTCCATTTTCTCGCCTTAGATTAGAAAACAGACAGTTGGGCTCATGATTTTTAAAGCAGATAGACCTTTTTCCCCTGCTTTAGCAGTATTAATTGCAGTCAAGCTTGACTGCCTTTCCTCATTCAGCCAGCTCCAGTGAAGCACCTGTAAGCATTCGCTTTGCAAGATGAGGGAGGGCTGAGAGAAGGTACAGTATGATTTTTACAGTATTCTGCCTACAGGTTTTTTTCCCGCAGGGTGAAATCTCAACCCTACCGAAGCCAAAAGACCTCTCCCCAGTTTGGCAAGGCTATAAACCTACCAATCTCACACTAAGCTTGTACTTAATGTGTCAAAAAACCTTTTTGCACTGAGACATTAGGTGCAAACGAAGGCCTTCAGCCTGTACGGCAGACTTTTAGAGTTTGACTGCTCATTCAGAAACATAGTGTGATTTTGCAGAAAGACAGCAGATCCTCCTAGTGATGGGGTTAGCCAAGCTTTGAAGAACTAGAGCTGTGAAATACAGAACGTAACATTAGGTTTTGAGGTAAGAAATAACTATGTCACGAGAACCAATTGAGAGTGCAAACTGGCTAGGATAAAAGCAGATGAAAAATCTGAAAGGAAAGTTAAGTTTCTACATTGATTTTCTTTAGGCTTGTTGAAACAGACTGTCTGTAATCTTTTAAAATTTGAATTTTATCCGAGGGTCAGCTTGGATAGCCATCATACAGCCTGCTGTGGGTATGTTCTAAAGGGTGATAAGATTTGAGCCTGCCAGCTTGGAGCAAGTGTAACAGCTCTGCTGTGTGCACTCTTTCTGCACACATCCTATCTTATCCTAACACATTTAGGGTGAGAAGAATACTTTTATCTTTTACCCCTGTGCAAGGATTCTGCCTGCAAAAGTTGATTCATGTGAACAAAAGTGAGAGAGTGCATAAGAATGTGAGTTTCAGATCTCTTTGTTCAAGCAATTTCTACTGAACAAAGGCTTTTCAGGAAAATATGAAGTTTTAATACTGGGTCTGATCCTGCAGATTCTTTTGGCTGAGAGCTGTAATTGCTGACACATTCAGTTAGAGGGAAAGCAGTAGAAGTTTCCATGATGGAAGCAGTGCTTTTAAATTGTGAAGCTAACCCAAATAATACCAGGTCTAGTAGCACAAGTGAATTCAAAGACAAGTGAAGAAGTGACGTAGCTGGTAGGTCTTACAGGTCCTCGCAGCTTCCCATGAACAAGCATCTTTGAGATAACGGAGAACTGCTTTACTAGAGCTGCCCAAAAGAGTGCCTCCAAGAGCAGTAACCTGGTCCAAACTCACTACTCATCCTGCTTTGAGCAGAAGGTTGGAAGAGAGATTCCTGAAGCCCCTGCTAACATCAATCACCCTGTGATACTGCAATGCTGATGAAACTCAAGCAACCACCTTCTCACAGTACATCTGGGTGGGGTGATGAAGGGCTCTAAGGCCAAAGTCTCAATGGGACCTTTACAGCCTCTTCCTCTTGGCAGTCATGAACTGCATGGGCTCACCTCTTCTAAGACACCTGGAAAACCTGTCACCCAAGCTACAGGGGACTTTTGAAAGTCTGGATCTCAGAAGCAATGAAGTCTTTTTGTTTGGGGGATTACTCTCCATCAGTGGCAAAAGCATGATCTGACTTTACAAACAAGGCAGAGAATTTCAAAACTAATGCCATTCCAAGCTGGGACATCTGTGCTAATTTTAACAGGGCAAGCAATAAAATCATGATGTTTCTATGTCTTGTATGATAATGAGTAAATGCACATACTTAACTTCAGCAACTTGGCAAGCTAAAAATCCTCAGATTGTTGGGTTTTTTTCCTTTATACATTTATAGTTTTTTATTAATAATATACTTTCATGCTTTCACTATTTATCTGCTTTGCTTTCTTGAAAAACAACATAAAATGAAACCACCTTTACACCGCATTAAATGCGCTTCCTTGCATTACTTAGTTGTCTCTAATATGAATTTTTACTTAATGTTGGGTTGTTTTTTTTCCCAACTACTAAATTAAAATGAATCCTTTTCAGAGCTCTGTCTTTAGCTGCTTTTGCACTGTCTCTTTCTAGTAATACCATATCACTGCAGACTGTAGGAAGTAAATAAATGGTTATTTCTCTTTAAAGTAAAACCATACTTGAGAACAGCTAATAAAAAATTGAACATGAAAGCAAATCTAGTGGTTCTGCAACAATCTCAGCAGCAGTGGCTCACTGGGATATCCATACTCCTGTTCTATGAGTTTAGCAATATTTGGAGCTCCAAATAATTTTGTAAGAGAGTAACTTCTGAAAAATCAATTCATATATATAATTACTCACTGCAATTACCCTAGCAGTCAGATGATCTGCAGTATAAATGATGTAAAGGATGTATCTCATATTGTACACATATTTCCCTAAAGATCTGTAAATAAAATAGAGTAAAAAAATTTTTATTTTTTTAATTTTACTTAACCAGTTGGAAATTATGCACCCTATTTGTGGAAGCTTACCTGTACCTTGCAATATAGTTCATGAACTTGAAATAAAAAGAGAATACCAGTGTAAGTGCAAACATCACAGAACCCAGTTTTCACTATTTCTTTGTACTGTAAAAGAGGATTTTGTACATCAGATAAAAGGCTTTTAAGTGGGGGTTCTAAAAATCTGCTTAGTATTCATATGTATCACTTAACTTCACAGTTAAACTGTGAGTACTCCAGATCTCTAAAGTTCAGGCCATTTTAATTTGGTGCCCAATGGCAAGGTGGAAAATGCTGGCCATGATAAAATAGCCAATTTGAGGTCTGTCACTTGGAATAGCTGGCACAAAGAGCAGCTGTTGTTATTTTTGATGGAGGATACTGTTTAATCACAAAGATAATTCACCAGAGTAAATCATAAAATGAAGAGCTTGGATACAAATCCTAAATAGCACAATGTGTCATTTCTTTTCTGATGAACTGATTTAAATTTCACTTCCTTAGCAAGAAGCTAATCAAAGAGCACCTGGTGTACTTGCCTACCACTACCTGTGAGACTGGGAAGTGCTGATTAAGAAGCTTACAGAGCTATTACTTACTTTGAAGCATTGCCAACTTCCATAGGCTGCTTTGAAATGTCGCAAAATTGGTGAGAGGGAAAGTGAAGTGAGATGAATGCATTAGACC